TAGGGTCTAGGGTTTAGGGTTCAGGGTTTAGGGTTCAGGGTTTAGGGCTTAGGGTTCATGATTTAGGGTTTAGGGTCTAGGGTTTAGGGTTGAGGGTTTAGGGCTTAGGGTTCAGGGTTCAGGGTCTAGGGGTTTAGGGTTTAGGGGTTTAGGGTTCTACCCCAAAAACAACTTTTGTTGGAGGTTCTGTGTTGATAGTATCTGGAGGCTCTGCCTCGGATCTTTTTGTCCTACACCAGAAAGCCCTAAAGGCTTCATGATAGCTAAACACTTAAAGCCCTCAGCCATGATCTCAACGGTTTAGGGCTTAGGGCCTAGACTCTGGCACTAGATTTTTGATGGCCTTCTCCAGAAGTGACCCTAACACAGGGAACAGGCTTGTAACTACTCAAGCCCCTATGTTTTTCATAAGTGATAAACCTCCCTATGCTAAACAAAAAGATGAAACAGCATACCCTAACCCCTCAAGCCTCAACTTAAATCCTAAACTCTAGACTGCACACCGTAAACCCCAAATCCTAAACCCTCAAGCCAAAATCTTAAACCCTGAACCCTAACCCTGAACCCTAAACCCTATACCCTGAACCCAAAATCCTAAATCCTGAACCCTAAACCCTAAAGCCCTAAACCCTAAAGCCCTAAACCCTAAATCCCTAAACCCTGAAGCCCTAAACCCTAAAACCCTAAAACCTAAAACCCTAACTGGGAAAGGGACTCCGAGGTTTCAAAACCCTGGAGACGCGCCCTGACGAGGCCGCAGCTGGGCTCCCTTCAAGGGCTCCCCTTTTTTAGGGTTGTTTTCGGGGTTTGGGGTTAGGGTTTTCCATTGAACCCCAAACCACGGCACGCAGTCCCCAGTGCTCTCGCCCAAAACCCCTGCATGGGCCCTAAACCTACCGAAGGCCTGCTTGATGGCATAGTAAGGGATGGCGTGGACCAAGTCACGCAAGGTCACTCCTGGCTGCATCTTGCCTGGCGGGCGTTTAGCGGCTTCGAGGCTGTCGAATCAAACCTTGAACGAATTGGGCATAGAGTCTAGAGTGTAAAGGATTTAGGGTCCCAGATTTCCGGTAGAAGATTTACAAAAATGAACCTAAACCCTAAACCCATGGTTTAGGAGCTCATGCGAAGAAGGTCTAAAAATCGAAGTCTGGGGTCGGGAGTTGGCTGTTTCTCCGTGCCCGGCCCATCCCGGAGTTGGACTTTTGGAGGCTCAGGGCTGAAGTTTAATAGGGTGTAGGGTTTAGGGTTTTAGGGTTTTAGTAATTTAGGCTTTAGGGTTCAGGGTTTAGGGCTTTAGGGTTTTAGGGTTTAGGGCTTAGGGGTTTCGAGTTCGAGGGCGTGGGGTAGGAAGCTTACATACACAGCGAGCATCTCTGGCTTCATCTTGTGCATGGGAATTTGGGCTGAGGGTTTGCCATGTACCGCTAAAAACCGTTGATCTTTGTGAAGCCGCCAATTTGAAAGCCCCTACATGCTAAGCTTAGACTCTAAGCCCTTCTCCCAGCATACGCTTGCAAAAAGAGAATCACATGTGTATATGTGCGCAATATTGTACATATATATATATGATATGATATGTACACTTCTTTATGTGTGTGTGTGTTCTCACACACGCACACGTACCTCTGTGAGACTTATATATATATATATATATGTATGTATGTATGTATGTATGTATGTATGTATGTATGTATGTATGTATGTATAAGCATATACAAAACATACATATATATATATACACATGCATGTGCATACACTTATGTATATACATATATGTATGCATATACTTATGCATACACAGATACACCTACACATATGCATATGCGTACATGCACATACATACATACAGACAGACAGACAGACAGACAGACAGACAGGCATTACGCAAATACACACCTATACTACTGTATGCCTCTGTAGCTATATAGCTACAAACATACACCTGCTTCAAGATGTCCCTTTCGTCTATATATTTTGTATCTATATATCTACGCACCTATGGAAGTAAGTATCTATGTATCTAGGTAACCAGGTTTCGATATCTCTGTATATCTGTAGAGCTTGGCGTTACAGATTCCGCCTATTTAACTATTGATCCATCTGTCTACCCATCCTTCACTGTCTATCTGACTATATGTCTATCTCTCTATCTGCATAAATATATATATATATACACACACGCACACACACATATATATATATACACATTCGATAAAGCTCCGTACCCTAAATCCTAAAAGTCTGAAGCCCTCAAACCCTAAACCCTTGAACCCTTGAACCCTTGCCAAGCGGCCGCTGAAACGAACCAAGACCGACTCGGGCATGTTCCTGCAGTGATTCGCGATTACAGTTTATTCTCGGGAGATGGGATGAAGGTAAGTAGGATTCCTTATATGAGGACTCTTCTTTTGGGTTTACCCCACCCATCTTCATCTCACCCTTGGCGCCCGTTGAGTTCAAGCTCTAAGCCCTACCACCTACACCCAAAGGCTCTAAACCGTCAAACCCTTTAAATTTAAAGCCTCAACAACCCCAGACCCGGAATCCTAAAACCGAGAATCCTACCACTCCAATGCTCTACAACTCTAGAATCCTACGCCCTAAACCAGTTCAACCCTGGACCACAACCAGCTCAACCCCAGACAACCCTGAAACCCTGAGCTACACTGAAAACACCAAAAAATCCATTTAAAAAATCCTAAATTCCTAAACCCTAAACACCAGTTCAGGTGTTTTTTCGTCTTTAGCGCTTGGGGTTGAGGGCTTAGGGCCTAAGCGAAACCCCCAAGCCTCAACAGCACCCTCCAAACCCCGCCGAATCGCGCATGTTACGGTATATGGGCAGTTCTCTAAATTAAGGTCCCCTTTGGGGTCCTCTCTTATAAGCGTGTCGTACGATTTTGGGGACCCAAAATGGGATCCGAATTTAGAGAACTACCCATACTATGGTATTTTATACTGTGCTACAGCATGCAGTGGCATTGTATAGTCTCTTATTCAAAAAAAGTTATAGTATACTGCAGCATATTCCAAACCCTGCCGAGGCGCAGGGGCATCACCCCAGTGGCGGCGCCGAAGGCCACGAGTCCGGATCCGGCTGGGAAGGAGATGCCCAGGGGGAAGCCTGGGCTTCCGGAGTTTGGGGGTCTTTTTGGGGTTTTTGGGTTTAGGGCTTAGGGTTTGGGGTTTTGGGGTTTAGGGTTTAGGTTTTGGGGTTTTGGGGTTTTTGGGTTTAGGGTTTAGAGTTTTGGTTTAGGGTTGGGGGTTTTTGGGGACCCTGAACCCTAAACCCTAAACCGATTTAGGGGGGGGGGGGTAGGAGGGGGGTAGGATTCTAGGGTTTTACGGCTTTGGGGGCGCTAAGCGTCGAAGGTGTCGGTGTCGTCTCTGGGGTTTGGTGGCAGAGCTGCCAGAAGGAATGGGCGGGGCTTTACGCTTTAGGGTTTAGGGTCATGGGCTTTAACGCTTGAGTTAAAGGCACTCTCGGGTTTAATGGGTTTGGGAGTTCAGTTTGGGGCTTTGGCTTTGAAGTTTTAAGGTTGCAAACTAGTCTATATAGTGCAAAACCAAACAAGGGCGGCCTGACCTTCTGCGTTGCCGTGTGCGGAAGCGTACTCAGGCTGCAGGGTGACTTCGGCCGTTTTTCACCGCCGGAGTGCCCAAACGCAGAATGCCAAAACCAGATATCCAAAGATGCGTTCGCACCTTGACCCTCTGCATCACATGCTCGGGCCAGAAGCCTTCTTGCAAAGCCCAAACATCCGGCCGCACCTGGGCTCAACCAACGCTCGCCACAGAGGGTGACTCAGCGGAGGCTAGTGCCGGGATAAGGCTGGATCCCAGCTCGGACCAACTTGGCCTAAACGGAAATTGGCACGGCCTCGGGCCTGATTCCTGTGCTTTGCTGTTTGACGTGCCGCTTCGGCGTCGGGGCTTCCCTTTTGGAGAAGGAACACCCTGATTCTCCATAGATGTGGAAAGCGCGGTCGTCTCGACCAATCCCCGATGGCGCCACAACCCTAGAAGTTCTGAGTACGAGCACGGCCTCGGGTTTTCCATGTTTGGCTAATGATAATGGCGAGCAGGATATGATGGCCTTGTCAGGGGTCCCTGATCTATCACCCCTGCGAATGATGATGCCAATGCTAAAACGGCTTGAATATCCAAAGGCTCCTACTTTGGATTGGTACCCTGGTTGGTGCGCTGCTGAACATGGCAGGCTGTCGTCCTGTAGCTCGACGACGGAAAAACTGGAATCTCAGAACCCACCCCGTCCCCTGGAAGCCTACAGCCTATGCTCCAAACCCTACACTCTAAACACCCTAAACCCTACACCCTAAACTGTTACAGTCTAAACCCTAATACCTAACTGGCATCCAGGAAGCGGGTGTGCGAGTCTCCGCCTTCAAGGGAAGGGACGATAGCGATAGCGGATATTTTTAGGAGGAGTGGGTTTGGGGGAAGGCGCTGACTTGCAGGAAGATAATGGGTATGATCCTGCCCCGCGCCTGTCCCGACCTCATCGGGAAGCAGCATTCGGTTGAGCCAGGAGTGGATGATGCCATCGCCCGGGCGCAGGGCAACACCGCCGCGGTCCGCGATGAACTTCGGGAGGGTGCGATGCGTGATCACCTTGGCGGCAGAGAGGGCACAAGGCCCGCTGGTGATTGTGCTCAGCCCTGCTGCCTTCATGAGAGGAAAGCCTTCGAACCCTCCCGGCTCCCTCCAAAAAGTTGTAAGCCATAAACTTCCTAAACCCCCTAAGCCCTAAACTTCCTAAACCCCCTAAACTACCTAAGCTCCCTAATCCCTAAACTCCCTTATCCCTAAACTACTCCTAGCCTTAAGTACCTTCAACTCTGAGGCCGCAGCATCCACGGGCTTTGGGTAGGCGGCGGTGTGGCAGAAAGACCTGGGGCCCAACCGGTTGGTTTAGGGTTTAGGGCTTAGGGTTCAGGGTTTAGGGTTTAGGACTTAGGGTTCAGGGTATATATAGCTTTATAGGGCCTGAAATTTGAAACCCAGAAGAATCCTACGCCCAAAATCCTACACCCTCCACCCTGCAGCCCTGTACCCTAAAGCCGTAAGCCCTTTCAAAGCATCCCCAAACCCTAAACCCGAGCTCTGAGCCCAGGCGCTGCATCACCAGGTCTGCCTGGAATCCCAGGCAGGCCAAATCCTTCAGCTCATCCTTGGCTCGCTTTGGCGAGGGGGTTTAGGGTTTAGAGTTTTAGGGTTTAGGGTTTTAGGGCTTAGGGTTTAGGGTCTAGGGGGTTTAGGGTTTGAGGTTTAGGGTTTAAGGCTTAAGGTTTAGGGTCATAGTATAGGGCTCTAGAAGAAGAGTTGCTGTTAAGGCTTCTACGTTGGGGCTTCGGGGTTTAAGGTTTTGGGCTTCGGGGTTGAGGGCTTGAGAGGCAGTTCTGTGGCTTGGAGCTTGCGGGGTTAGGGTCAAGGTTTTTGGGTTTAGCTTCGCTGTTGAGTTCCCTGGCCCACAGAATCAAGAACCGAGGGATGTTACGAGCCCGGGGATGGTTCTGGGCTACCTGACAAGCTACCAAGTTCAGAACAAAAAGGAGGGTTTTAACAGGTTCGGCTTTCGAGTATGACAGTTTCGGGGGGTCCCGGGGTTGGCATTGGGGGTATTTGAGGCTTCAGGGCTTTAGGGCCTAACTTTAGGGTTGAGATTGAAGGTTTTGAAGATGTGGATTCGTTGGTGCGTGGGACATGGCGATGAGTTTGTACTTAGTTGTCCAGCATGCGCCGTAACGCCAGCGTGCCCCGTGCGGCGCCCGAAGCATGATCTCTAGACCTTAATTAAACCCGAAAACTTCAAAACAACCCACGGAGTCTTAAACCTCCGAAGTACTAAACCCTAAACCCTAATCCCTAAAGCCCTAAAGCCCTAAAGCCCTAAACCCTAAACTCTGCACTACCCATCAAAACCCCAAAGGCTCAATCATTCGGCCCCCAATCCCTTTGAAAAGAAACGAACCCGAAGTCGCTTTGCCCGAGCAGCGCGGGTCATGGGCCCAGTGGTGTCCTGAGAGCCCACAGTTCCTCAGAGTCGCTTCCACCAGCCGAAAACGGTTCCCGGCTCAGGAAGATAGGGCATGTGGCGGGGAGTTGAGGATTTAGGGTTCTGGGGTTGTTGCAGGATGCTTCACAGTGCTCTATGATTCAGGGCCAAGGTTAGGGCTCAGCAAAAACATTCCTGGGGCAGGCCTGCATGGCAACACTCTCGGAAGTCCCTTACACCCAGACCAGAGACTCTTATCAGTGATCCCCTAAACCCTAAACCCTATTCTACTATTGTTACTACTGCTCCAGTAACCAATCCAAGGTTCCCATGCGGGGCTCGCAGTAGGCTCCCGGGACAACCCCGTCAACGCCACAGGCCTGACCAAGAAAACAGGCTTAGAGGAGTCAGTTGTGGCTTTCTGGCATCACTCGCTCAACCTCGCACCTATGGTGGTCTGCTGGAGCTGTTGAAATGAAGAAGGTATCTCCAGTGAACAACTACATAGTAGAATCCACATCAGTTACAACCTTGCGAAAAGGAATGGCCTCTAGCACAGAACTAAGCATTCTGGGTGGGGGCTTTGGGTGCTGCGCCCGCAAAAAAGAATCAAAAGCAAACGACAAAACACCTAATATACAAATGTGTATGTATATATATATATACACACACATATACATATACATATTCATTTGTTTGTTTATTTATCGCGAGAGAGAGAGAGCGAGACACAGCTACATATATATATATATACATATAATATATATATATATACATATATACTTACATACACACACATGTACAAACGTGTCCCTCCCCCCTGCCCCTCCCCTACAAACAGGGTTGCGCGATTTTGCACGAGAGTTCGATGACGTCGTCGAACGAGCACCATCCCTGTGACTGTTTGCTCGTGAGAGGCCTGGCTTGGCTGCCGTGGAGGTATTCAAACAGCATACACCAGGACCCGAAACACACAACAAACATCCCCTAAACCCTAAACTCCTAAACCCTAAACTTTGAACCCCTAAACCCCCAAAACTCTAAACCCCAAAGCCCTAAACCCCACAAGATTAAAGATGAACCCTTCTTCGGCCTTGCCCACCATCTTCTGAGCCAACGTGAAGCCCTTCACGTTGACATCTGGCTGGGCCATCTGCCTGGGCTCCAAAGCAGCCCCTTACCCGGTTTAGGGTTTACCTGTAACCGAAAAGACCTACCGTTTTAGGGTTCCTTATTATGGTTTCTATATAATGCTTAAAAAGGTAGGTCTTTTCCGTGACGGTAGGGCTTAGGGCCCAAAACCCTAATCCATAAACCCTAAAACCCTGAAAGGCGTTCTAAAGCATGAGCCCAGCCCCAAAAAAACACACACAAAGAAACTCCTGAGCCAGCCAAAAGCAAAAACGCCGAAACCCCAGAGACATCCGAGCTGCCTGAAGGGCACCCTAGGCCCTAAACCCTACCTGTGGCCCAAAAGACCTACCTTCTTAATGAACTCTATATAGAAACCAGAACAAGGAACCCTAAAAAGGTAGGTCTGTGCGGCTACAGGTAATCCTTTATCTCTAACCCCGAAACAGCAAAGCCCTAAAGCCACCCAAAACCCTGAACCCTAAACCCTAAAACCCTAAACCCTGAAACCCTAAGCCCTAAAGCTCGCACCCGAGCTGCTTGAAGGTGGTGGACATGCCCAGGTTCAGGCTCTCGCGGGCCTTGTTGGTGAGCCCACGGCCGATGATCAAAGGGATGCGGCCGCCCGCCTGCACCTGGGTAGCATGGGGTTCCGTTAGGTTCCTTCAAAGGGGGCTCTATGAGGGCAGGGGGCTCTATGAGGGTTCTTATAAGGATTTAAGGTTGTTTATAAGTTTTTGTTTATAAGGGTTTTTATTCAAGGATTAGAGATATCGGGCCTTAATGCTTAGAACAGGTTTTAAGGGTATATGGAAACATAAATGGAAGCCTGAGGAAAAATGCGGGTAATTATTCAAGAAGTAGGTATCACAGACTCCAACACCGTTAGTGGGAGTATGGTTTCTGCTAGGTAGGATTCTCTGCTTAGTAGCCCTTCTCGAGGCCTACAGTCACCTATCCACACTATGCATTCTCATGTTTGACAGCTTACGGTTTCGGAATCTGCCTGCCTGGTCCAGCATCAAGCCGTGCTTGAGGTCGAACTTGGTGAGGACCTCGTCGGTGCCATGCTTCTTGATGACTTGCTCCTCGGCAGGTGTTTGGTTCTGGAATCGCGGTTTGCAGCAGTCCTGGTCTTGGGAGTAGGCAGCACCAGGGACGGGAGGATGGGGGAACGGAGAGCGAGGGTGTGGCGGGGGGAGGACCATAGGATGTACTGCGATCTGCCGCCAACGCCAGCCGCCCATAGGCGTCAGAGTTGGCGCCAAGATCCAGGCTATGACGACCCGCCTGACCCAAAGTCAAGCCCTGCAACGTTGGGTGCAGTTTTTGTATGTCAAAACAGTCTGCCACTGCATCAAGCAGTCTGAATGGGAATTTGAGAGCTCCAAAACGAGGCGTTTGCAGTTGCTTTAACTTTCCAGATGCTGCCCAGGACACATAGACGCACAGATCGATGAGGTCGCCCATGTTCCTGAGTAATGCTTCTGCAAAGGGCATGCGCAATGCACCTAAACCAGATCCCCAACCCTAAACCCTATAGCCTAAACCCTAAACTCGATAACCATCAACCGTCAAGTCAACCCTACGCCGTAAGCCCCAAAAAGACGAAGGCTGCTAAGACTTCACCTGTGGCCCTTGGGATCTGACATCCTTTGTAGCCCTTTGGCCCCTAATTTTTGGGAGGATCCAAAAAAAGGGAGATCCCTTATGAAGGAACCCTAAACCCTAATCCCGTATACAGGAACCCTAATACCTAAATCCCTTAACCCTATTAGAGATCCCTTAAGGGGGTTCCCATAAGATGCTCTTTCAATGTAGGCCGGCGAACCGCAGGAGCTACGTGCTTAGATCCGCCCGGGCACTGGACCCTTGTTTAGAGTAGGGCCAAGGGCTCAGGAAATCATTTCTGATGTAGGAGCCTTTATAATTAGAACAGGGTTTTGGGCGTTTCTTACTATAAGTATAGTATGATCTACCCCCCAACCCTATTCTCATTATCAAGGCCCCTATATTAGCGCTGAGGCCGGCCAACCCCTGCAGGCTCCAGAACAAAGGAGACGAAGGATTTGGGAGACCTTCACCCATGTGGGGAATATACGGCCAACTGTCGAGACTTTTCCGCCCCGGGATCCCTCGCCCTAAACCCTAAACCCTAGAAGCCCCAAACCCTGAACCCTAAACCCTAAAACCCCAAACCCAAATCCCTAAACCCTAAAACCCTAAAACCCTAATTAGCTGAGGAACATGTCTTTGACATCCATCTCCAAAGGCAGTGCACCAGAGTCCTCCGATCTGGGTTGAGGGCCAGGGCACAGTATATTCGAAGCTCCAAGAAAAGAGAGAAAGCCTGCATACTGCAGGGGCAGTTATAATTAGAATAGGGTTTTGGGGCATATTATACACTAATTCTGATTTAATAAGGAGCCCCCAAAACTAGTATTTGTAACTATTCAGGCTCCTATATTAAGTCATCCCGTGCCCATGTTCCATCTTCTGGCATCAACTCGTGGGCCCCAGTTCCGGCAAGACATTCACGACTGCGCCCGAAACCCTAGGCCCTAAACCCTAAACCCTCAACCCTTAACCTTAAACCCTCAACCCTTAACCTTAAACCCCTAAACCCTACACAGTGAACCCTAAAACCTCAACCCTCAACCTTAAACCCCTAAACCCTAAACCCTGAACCCTAAAACCCTAAACCCTCTAAGCCTCACAACCCTGAGACAGGAAGACCCAAAGAAAGCCCTGAACCCCTATCAACCCCAAAACTCTCCCCCAAAGGAAACCTTGTCATCCTCCGGGCTGCTCCTAAACCCTAAACCGGCTCAGGGGTTTAGGGTTGAGGGGTTTAGGGTTTAGGGGTTTAAGGTTTAGGGTTTAGGGGTTTAGGGTTTAGGGCTTTAGGGCTTTAGGGTTGAGGGTTTACTAAGTTTAGGGTCCTCCATGGTGTTGAAAAAGATGGGCGCAATCACACCGCCGATCACGAAGCCGCCGGTGCGCTTGTTCGGGGCGCAAGGGATGTCTTGGCCTGCTGTGGCGTCAGTCTTGGGGTTGAAACTTGGGGATTTGGGGTGTTTTTTGTGTTTAAGGTTTAGAGTTGAGGGTTTAGGGTTTTAAGGCTTAGGGTTTAGGGTTTAGGGTTTAAGGTTTAGGGTCAATGTCTGCGACCGATGTTCACGATGCTTAGTTTGAGATATGTAATTTTTGGTCTATGTTCCAAATTCCCCTACTCGAATCAGCAGAAAAGAGACTCAGTGCCAAGGTACATGCCCTGCATAGTCGCAATGTAGAACATTCGAGACGAGGGGGGTTTGCGCTTGGGTTCCAAGTTGCATGCTCACGACGAGACGTTTAAGTCTTTGGTGTTGCCATCGGAACTTTTCCCCTCGGCAACCCTTAGGCAAGCCCTAAACCCTAAACCCTAAAGACTTTAGTGCTTATGATTCACAGGGCTATGGTTCGGGGGCTTAGAAATCAGTCTAGAGTTTGGTGACTTGAAAGGGTGCTGGGCTTGTTCTACGTGGTTTCGAGCGCTACATAGCATACGGGCCTTTAGAATTAGAATAGAGTTTTGGGGTTATATTATACTAAGCTCATAACAAGGAACCCCAATATTATATAATGTTATACTAAACTCATAACAAGGAACCCCAATATTATATAGTATTGGTACTTATTTAGGCCCTGACATTGCCTCGACCCTCAGGGCTGATATCAAAGCCGTGTCTTCAACAGGGCACAGCAGGCTCTCAAGACAAAACCCCGAATCAAACCGGCAACATCTAGGATCTTGAAACACGGGGCGCCCCCAAATCTGAGTAAAAGCAAGGTAGCCCAATCCTGTGGATCCACCTCAACCGCGCATCTCAAACCTCCACCGCGCGGTAGAAACCCGAAGAAAAGCCCTCAACCCAAGCTAAAACCCGCAAGCTCTAACCCCTAACATTTACGAAAATTGCCCTTCTCTTGGACGCCCCGCCCATGTACCAGAGGATCGAGTTGGTGGCCGACTTACGTGAAGAGCCCGTGCCCACAACGTCTCCGACGTAGGCGAGCTGGCGGCCTTTCCTTGGTGGGTGTCCCAGCGGTTCCAGGGGTTTTTAGGGCCATTCTTTCAGGGCCTTCCAGAGCCTAAGAATTGAAAAAGTAAAGCCTGAACCTCGAAGGCCAGAAGAGTAAGCCGTAGGGTTTAGGAATTGGGATTTGGTCTTTGGGTATCAGGTCTGTACATTATTATTGTCAGTACCATTTCTAGTGTTCCTACTACTACCACTCTTATTACTCTTGTCCCTCCAATTCTTATCCCATTCTTATGTACCACCTTTGCTACTATTATCATGATTACTATTATGGTCCTAATGTAAACCCTAATCGACCCTAAACTCCCTAAACCCTAAACGAAACGGTTCGTGGGACGGCACACCAGCTGCTGAAAGACTTCGGACTTGGGCCTTTCCAGGCTCGCGAAGTCCTCACGGTCCCTACAAGCCGGAAGCAATGCCGCCATGCTTATATTATATTGTATGTGTGTGTATATATATACATACATATATATATATATGTGTGTGTGTGTGCGCGCATGTATGTAATGTTATGTCATGTCATGTTATGTCTTGTCATGTCATGTTATGTCATGTCACGTTATGCTGTGCTATGTTGTGTTATGTTGTGTTATGTTGTGTTATGTTATGTCATGTTATGTTATGTTATGTGAGGTTATGTCATGTTATGCTATGTTGTACTACATTTTTCATGGACCGGTTGCGACGACCTAGATTTAGGGGACTTAGATTCAGGTAAGTTTTTGGGCCGGCCCAGCCAAAATTTGACAAATTTTGACAAATAAAAGACAAAAAAAGACAAATAAAGACACATAAAGACAAATATTAGACAAATAAAGACAAATAAA